TTTAAAAGGCGGAGATTGTTCGTGATTTCTGTAGTGAAAATGAGTAAAAAGTGGACAGTAAAAAAGGCTTTGCATTAGTAGGAAATACAACACCACATAAACTGTCTCTTTAGGGAAATAACTCCAAATGATCTGCCATTATAGAGCCTTCGGTGTGTCTCATGTGGCTCTCTGTGCCTGTGTGTGTGTGAGAAGCAGAGTGTAGGAAAAGCAGGTCCTATTCTACACATTTACTTGCTCATTTTTTCCTCTCTTTCATCATCAGTTTAATAATACCAATGTATATTCACTCTGCTTCTTAAAAAAACACCTAGTATCGATGCTGACATTCTCAAGAAGTATCAGTATTTCAGCTTTAATCCACCCATCCCTAATTTTAATCTGAGTAACACTTTCGATTACAGAGTATAATAGCATTTAGTTCAAATCTTATCAGGTTACAATCCAGATATAAGTCACATGACACGATTAGGTGTAAACAGGGTATTAAATTCAATTACTCTGACGCAGATCCAGGCGTCTTGTTTATTTCAGACTGCATGTGACTTATGAAAAGCAGAGAGCAGTTGCTGGTCCACATTTCTGTGCTTTCTTGCAGGGAATGAACGTAATGTGCAGGTGCCTTTAGTGATCGCCAGATTTTGTATAAACATGCACTACCAGTTGTAAATCATAGTTATACGGCTGTTGAGCTTCGAGTTAATATCTGCTGGAAAGCAACCTTATGAGCAAACATCGGCATGAACGCTATGAGAAACGTTTAAGAGGTTAAAGCTTCCGGATTAAAATGAGTTTCGTTCCTCTCATAAGAGCAGCCCACTAAAAAACCCTGATCTACAAGTCATAGAATTTGATATAATTTTATTTGGTAAAGCCTTCTGCTTTGTTTGTTTGTTGTTTCTTTGAAAATGAGCATAGAAGGTGTTTCACATTGTCGGGTTTGCTCTGATAGACAGTTATTATGAGTCTAGAGGTGGAGAAAGTATACAAATCATGTGCTTTAAGTGAAAGTAGAGATATAACTGGTGAATTATTGCAATAATAAAAGAAGCCCTCTATTTATTTTTGTACTTGCATTTAAAAGGACAGTTGTATGCAAAAGTTCAGGGCGCCCCGGTCAAATTACATGTTTTGTTGATTTTCTAAGTGTAAATAAGTGAAGACATCCTCTACGGAGCACACACTTCTGCACATTTTTTGCATAATTACTGTTTTGTTGATGATTTCAACACATTTTATTTGGTAAAGAATTAAACAGACTCCAGTTGTTTTAGTCAAGCAGTGCTTTACGGACAGATATGACTGTCAGCTCCCCAACCAAGCAGGGCTTCATTTTTTTCATTATATCTTAGGCTAGTGCTGTTTCAGTGAAATGCTTTTGAACAATGACACAAGAAATATGATTCTGATGCATTGCCTTATTCAGATTCAGTTTCGTGTCAAAGTAAAAGTAACGAAGCAATGACTGTAGTAAAGCTACAGAGCAAATAAATAAATAATCACTTTAAATCAATCCTGAAAAAGAAAAGAAACACCCCAAAAACTCTCCAGCAAATATTAAGACACAGGCTAAAGGCCACATTCCAGCGCTTAAATCAGGCAAATAAATGTGTAGCAACCTCCTTTTGCCTAATCCTACATGTCTGCATGTCCAACTTGTGTCTGCAGAACACGTGATCTCTTCTATTATTACAAAATATTACACAGTAATGCCCCGAATACTTACTGTACACTGTTCACATTCACATATTTAGCAGAGCAATCACCATGGTAGTGTTTGGAGTTTGTTTGGCCTAGCCTCACCCTCTTCTTATTATTCCTAGGCATTTCTTGTTTGTCCTGACTGTATTTATAACCCTGGTTGTTTGTTTTGTGCCTGTTTGATGTCTTTGTTTTACAAGCCCTATTTTTGTGTGTTCTATGCTGCATGTTGGTTTTCTTTGCTCTCTCTAGCCTTTGTTTTTCTGTCTGTTTAAGTATCCTAATTTCTAGTGTTCTTACTTAGTGAACTGCAATAAAACCTCTGACTCGCACTTATACCCTGCCTCCTCGTCTCCTTCACTGATACATGTTTTAGAGCTGTGTGAATGCAAAAAAACATCCTACAACAGGCCTACAATGAACGAAAATGAGAACCAGTCATTAAACACACTGATTGCTCCCTTCCCTCTCCTGCGTCGGTCAGCACAGACACGTTCAAACAGTTTGAGGAGCAGCTGCGTGTAAATGTCAGCCGACGGGAAGCACTGCGCGGTTTCTATGAGGGACACAGGACAAGAGATTTACAGTCTCTGTTCACTTAAGTCTCAAGAGGGAAAAAAACACTCAAGAACTTCTCCATTACAGGTTTGATACTACTCGAAAACTCGACATCCCGCTCAATATGCAGAATACTGCAAAACTGTAAAAGGGAAAAAATTCACAAATAAATTTCACAAAACTGCGAAATGTAAGTAAATAATTAATGGAATTGACTGCCTTGGATGACCAACCACTCTCTGTTGTCTCTGTTTATTTTATTATTTTTTATTTTTCATTTATTGCCAGCTTTTTCAGTTTTCTGTTTTCAGGCCACTGCGACCTGAGTTTCGGTTTCCGTTTCAGGGAAGGTTTTTCTATTTCAGTGCAGCTCTAGGGGTCATAGATTGGATACATACGCAGTTTGTGGTCATGTGACCAAAATTAGAAATTTTACCTTCATCATCCACTGTTGACAGTGTGAAGTTACTGTCAGTAATAACTGCGAAAGCATTAATGCATCTGGCCTTTTTTAATATTCCAACTGTATCAAACAGCTGATCAGTTATTCAGAGCAAACAAGCTGTTGATGGCCCATGCGGCTCATGCACGTCATGTTACTGATGTGAGAAAGATCAGATCTGAGCACCGAATCCATCCTGTGTGGTCTCATGCGGACTAATGCTGTTGCTTCATCGGGTGCCCACTGCTCGCCAGCCTTCTGGACCAGTTTGACCACCATGGAGACTCCTACTGTACAAACCTCACCTGCATGAACTGACCCTCCGGATGATGCTGCTAAATTTTTTAATCATAGCCATTGCTTCTCCTGCTTTTCCGTTTTCCATATTTTATACTGATACTAATGTTCAAACTTTATTCTCTGCTGCTATTGTTTGCTATGCGGTGTCAACCAGAGGTGGATGGGTTCCCCTTTTGAGTCTTGGTTCCTCTCAAGGTTTCTTCCTCTTGCTCTTAGGGAGTTTTTCCTTGCGTGTCACCACTGGCGTTGCTCAAAAGGGCTCAGACCCGGATGTTTCTGTGAAGCTGCTTTGTGACGTCAGTTGTAAAAAGCGCTACATAATTACATTCTGACTTGAGAATTGAGCAATATGGCTTGTAATGGGAATGTGGCCTCACTGTGGCATAAAATCAGCTAGGTCCTACTTACTGCATTCACTTCAGAACAGGTTCTCTTTCTGGAATGGAAGGTTATTCTGTGCTATGACCTCTAAATTCTGGAACCTCTTATCCCAAAATATCCGTCACTGCTTGTCCATCTCTCTTTTCCTTTCTGCATGTAACTCTCACTGATACTTGTCTTGTTTTTGTTTGTTACGGTCTCGTTTGTTTTTGTCCCACTCATGTACTTTCTTTTCCTAAAAAAATCAGTGACATTGGGTGTTTCATAAAATGTTCCACCTATAATATTTGTGTAGTTTCACGGATCGAAAATAGGCATAATTCATTTTTTGGGACAATTTTCTTTCTTTTAGTTAAACAGTCTGTTTGTTACTGTGCCTTTAAGACTGATATATGTAAATAAGCTCTGTTCTGACTGGCTGTCCTGTGTCCACATTCGAAAAGCAGTCTGGGCTGAAACAATAATTATAACTTTATCATAAGTGTGTGGGGATAAACTGCTAATTAAAAAGAGTTGGCTTTAGTGACATCACAAAAACAGTTCTTTAAAAACAGTCTGTAGTTTATCTTTCATATATAGGCTATACGGACTGTGGGGCGAACATTTTTTTTCTTATTTTGTTTTTAAACTTTAGCAAACTACATCAAACTCTTTTTTCAAGAAAGAGGAGGTGAGGAAATTCAGTTTTCCATGATACTGGCCCTTTAATATTGCACCATACACCCATCTCCTGGGGCCCAACGACAGCCGTGAGAGCCAGCGGGAAGGCAGGGCCAGATTCCTGAACACCGCCAAGGGACGTGAGTTACGGCAGGAGGAGGACGTCAGCCGCCAGAGAGGGGACACTGATGACGGCCATGACAGGCACAAAGTGGGATGCGAGTCCCGAAGTGCACCGTCGCGCCTCCTGTTCCACAGTGACGCCGCTTCACTACACCTCATGTTCGGCGGCCAAGCTATGCAGCAGGGGCAGTGACGGGGAGGCGGAGCTCTCGTTCCCTCTCGGCTCAGGTGCTCATGCTGCCGGCCAGATCAGCCTCAGCTGGCTCTCATTAAGGGCAGTGTGAGTGCCTTTTAAAAAGAGCAGAGAGGGAACAGAGAGAGAGACAGAGAGACAGAGAGACAGAGAGAGAGAGAGAGAGAGAGAGAGAGAGAGAGAGAGAGAGATAGAGAGAGAGAGACACAGACACAGACGAGCACCAACAGCAGAGACCAAGTGAAGAGAAAAGCTTGAGTGAGAAAAGGACTAAAAAAAGTTTGAAGCCACTGAAAAGTGGGCTGCATAAGTTTTGGTTGTTTATTTTGTTAATGTTTGGTGTGAAAATTAAAGTTATACGGCTGCTGCAACCCTGAACCCTGCCTCCAGCATCCTTCATGAGCCGGGGGTAGCACAGGGTGTGCTACAAATATATTATTATTATTATTATTATTATTATTATTATTAAGGACTTGTAATTAACTCCTGAGTTGAGTCAGATTTATTAGGAAGCATTTTTAATGTGACTCTCCAGGACTGAGCTGAACTACTCCTGTTCATATTCTCTCTGCTCCTATCTTCTTGCTTCTCCCATTGCACAAAGCTTATGACACGTAAATAGTATGCACTGGATGCTCTTACCAATGTCGTGATATAGGGAGCCTTGCTTTAATGGCAGGGACACTGGTTTCCGCGGAGATGGAGCCTCAATCTTCATGAGCTCGTCACAGCACTGTTTCCACTGGCCTGTGCAAAGAAAACAACCGGTCAATTCTTGGCTCAGTCTGCTTTCAATGTCTGGGTACACTTCTAAGAGGAATTCCTCCAGATTTTCCAAATTTCTGCATAATTGTACGGTTAAGATGTAAACAAAGTCATTCAGAGGGGTTTGGTGTGAAATGCTCCATTCCAAAGAAACTTTCGAAGTCAGATTTGTTCACAGTGGCGGTGACAGGAACCAGACGTCCACCTCTAAAAGCTCCCTCACAGAAAGTCAGTACATGAAGTGGGTGTGAATACTGCGCGATGTCTGAAACACTGTTTTACGATAGTTTTGAGATAAAGCTTTGGAGGTACATGCAGGGCAAAAAATTCCCCAAAGAAAACAGTTTTTTTTTTAGATTCTCTTTTACTATCAACATTACATACAAAAGAAGACACAAGTAGGTTGGCTAGTGGTTTTGGATTTGTGTTTTAGACATTGTGACCACTCCTTCCTATCATCGCCACCGAGTCTGTAAGTTTCTCTACAATGAACCACTTCACATCAAACCACTCTGAATGACTTTGTTCACATCTCAACCACTGAATGATGCAGAATTTTGAAAAATTGGTGGATTTCCCCTTTAACAATAAGCTTTCTATATAAAAACACTTTATTTGGAATAGAACCTTTATATAATGTGTAGGTTCTTTAAACTCTGAAAAGGTTCATCACATTTACTCTTATTATTGACAAAAAAGGCTCATTAAAGTTCCTTGCTTTGACAGGTTCTTTGGGGAACCGATAGTGGTTCATATTTAGGTTCATTTATTTTGAAGAGTGTGGAAATAGGGTATGCTGGAGATGTAGTATACTCTTTGAATGGACATATTGCACAGTCAGATGCAAAAGTTTGGGCACCCCTGGTCACATTTTAATACACAGTTAATGTTTATATGTAACATATTGGGACAATCTAAAAACATAAAATGTGGCCTTTTTTCAATAAATAAATAGAAATTGTGCTCTAGAATCACTTAGAAGCTCAACAAAACATGTAATCTGCCTGGGGAGGTGTTCTGTGTATGACTGTACGTTTAGCTGAGAGGAAGTACTGCATGTGTCACACGCAACATAAAACTCTCAAAAACTGACACCTGTCATTGGGAAGCACTCCACGCCAGATCTGCGCTGCAATAAATGCTTGAAAAGGAGACAGCAAATTACGGCCTTAGACAGAACGCATTTCTGAGAGACTGTGTACTTCGTGTTTGTCATATATGTGAGAGAAAGAAATGTAGTGTAATTTAAACCTCCTCTGAATGTCTGAAGAACAGCCTATCCAATATTTAACAACTAGTCTCAATTACTTGACGTCGCAGCAGGTTTTTCAACCTTCCCTCCAGAAAGAATACCAGACAATGATACACCACAACAACAAACAAGATCCAGAAGAGAACACAGCACAAAAAAGCAACAGTCTAGCTGAGGGGATAACTGAGATAGCCGGTTACTATAAAAGCACAATGACCTATTGTTCCGCAGCACCCTGCAAAACTCCACACAGTGATACAAAGTGTTATGAAATAACATATTTGGTATTAATAGCTGACCTCAATGGTGCAATTGTGTGTTTGGCTTACTTAAAATTAATAAATTGGCAATTAATTTAGTTAAATTAGGCTCGCAGTTACACAGTCCACAGTGCCCAGTTTTGCTCACCAATAACTGCAGCGTTTTATTCTGAAATACAATAACATTCTGACATTTATCTCCCAGAGGGTGGCTCAATTAAAGGCACAACTTACGGTAATAAATATTTACAAGCTGAATAGAAAAAATGAAAGAAGTATGCTACTATTCAAAAGTGTGGAACCACCATTCAAAGTTTTGGAATCACTGTTTTTACTAATATAAAACCAATTTAACTGTAGATGCACAAACAAAATTATTCCATTACAAAGTCAGTAATTTGTACGAAGCTGTAAAAAAATGAAGAAATGTTAGATTCATCTACAATGATGTACAGAGCTGTAGATGACTCTAAAATGACAGAAAAAAACTGTATAAAACTGAAAATAAAGTTATAATATCAGCATTCAAATGCTTTGCACTGGGAAAGCAGTGTTAAAATCTTTAGTCAGAGAACGTATTAAGGAATTACTGCAAATCAGGGGTCCTCAAACTTTTTGTCCTGGGGGGGCAATGTTTGTGGTGGGCTGAGGGCCAAAAAACAAAATAACATACCAAGAAGGTGGGTGGGTTTCAAACTGAGTTTTTTAAATGCCACACTACGATAGGAACTTAACATAGGTGGGTGATATGGCAAAAATGTGATATCAGGGTACCCTGAAGTTTAATTAATACATGATACTATTTTACATAGTAAAGCATATTGTGGTATATTGTGACATAATTCATCATAATAACGATACTGTCATATTGCCCAGGCCTACTTTAATAAGTCATATACAGAACAAAACGTCTATTGTCTCATTACGTGAGGGGGTGAGTTGGGGGCAAATAAAACATGGTTGAACAGGCCTGCTCCAAATAGATATTTACAATACATTATTTTCCATTTAAAGGTTACCCTACATTTTTTGCATGTTATTGTTATAAATTAGCTCTGTTCTGATTGGCTGATCTGCATTCAAGAAGCAGTCAGGGCTGAAACACTCCTTATAACCCATGTGTCAAACACAAGTCAGGCAAAATTATTTAAATTTTCTATTGTTAGAAAACTACAGTCCCCAGCATGCACTGCAACATAGTGTGCATTCTGACCCCCCTTCCTCCAACAACAATCTATGGGCCAGCGGTTACACAAAAAGAAAAGATACCTGGTGTCTCTTTCAAGCAAACAGGCAGTTTTTTTTAAAAAAACTACCTAAAACAATTTATTTTTATTTAGAATTATTTCTGAATAATTATTAAGTGCCTATTTTGCTGCAGTTTTGGCATATTCAGAACAAACAATGGCCCATTCATGTCAAGATGTTAAATAAAAATGAAATAAAACACAGCTGGTCCACCAATTTGCTGAGGTTTTTTTATACGGCCCTTTTAGTGGTTGAGTTTGACACCCCTGCCTTATAACATCATGAGTGGGCGGGGCTAAGCTGCTGTAGGCTGAATAGGCAGACATATGTAAATGATTTTATTACAAGCTAAATGACATGACTCATTCAAAATGAGCTTCTGCAGCTTAGTTTCCACATATATGGATTGTATGAACTGGGAAGTGAACAGTATGTTTTGGACCTTTAACAATGTTTATATGCCATATCAAACCATTTTGTTCAAAAAAAGTGAGGGAAATTTGTTTTTGCGTAATATGGGCCCTGTAAGAAGTTTAAAAAAGCTCAAATATAGAATAAAACAACTTAAAATACCTTCTGGTGTCTAATTTATAGCATTTAAATTGACAAAGTATATGTTACCACTGAATAACATATAACAGCTGCTGATATGACAAGCGATTCCAAACCGAATGGTAGTGTACTAAGGAGAATACAGCACACACAGACATGGCTACAGGCAGAACATTTTTTTTTCACAAAAGCAAAAGAATCGGTCTCCACCCTAGTCTGTCAACTTCCTTCAGGTCAGAACAATGTATGTATTGTGTCCTCTGGGGATGTTCCAGAAGGTGTGGTGTGTATGTGTGCATAAGTGTGGCGAAGTGTGAGTCATTCTGGGTGCAGATTTACGTGAAGTATAACTTACATACCATACAGGTGCACTTTGTAGTTCTACAGTTACAGACTGTTTCCATCTGTTTCTCTGCGTACTTTGTTAGCCCACTTTTACCCTGTTCTTCAATGCACAGGACCACCATAGAGCAGGTATTATTTGGGTGATGGATCATTCTCAGCACTGCAGTAACACTGACGTGGTGGTGTGTGTTAGTGTGTGGTGTACTGGTACGAGTCCTGTGACTGGGCCTGTGACGTCCTGTGACCACTGATGAAGGACTAGAGGATGACCAACACAAATTGTGCAGCAGCAGAAGAGCTACTGTCTCTGACTTTGCATCTACAAGGTGGACTGACAAGGTAGGAGTGTCTAATAGGGTGGACAGTGAGTGGACACAGTGTTTAAAAACTCCAGCAGCACTGCTGTGTCTGATCCACTCAGACCAGCGCAACATACACTAACACACCACCACCAACACGTCAGTGTTACTGCAGTGCCGAGAATGATCCACCACCCAAATAGTACCTGCTCTGTGAGGGTCCATGGGGGTCCTGACCACCAGAACAGGGTAAAAGGGGGCTAACAAAGTATGCAGAGAAACAGATGGACTACAGTCTGTAAGTGTAGAACTACAAAGTGCACCTATATAGTAAGTGGAGCTGATAAAATGGACAATGAACATAAAAACATTGAGGTGTATTTAATGAAGTGCTCAGTGAGTGACATGCAAATCAGCACACCCAGCAGTAGTTCTTGCATTTGGGAAAGAAATAGCGATTCAAAATGTATTATTTGGTCATCATATTCTGTATGTGGGTCATTCCGTGTATTGAAGCGGTAAACAGGGTACAAATGCTGTAATGCTATATAATTCAAGTGTAAAACATAGTCTCTTATATTGAACAACATCAGTAAAGTTGCCTGAAATCCGAGCTTTTATAAAGTACAGTCCACTTGCAATTTAGTTTTTCAAATTAACATTGAAAATTACAATTATTACACTAATATTTTATTTCAATTTCAAAATCACATTACTAACACAATCTTTTTGCGACACATGATGCTGTATTTTAGCTAAATTAATCAGAAATACAAAAGGTTTTGCAGACTTCTTAAAGTAGGTCCTTCGTCCCTTGAGATATCCATACAAAAAGCAATTCAAAAAGACTGTTTTTTTTTAATAATATATTATGTTCCTGTAACATACTTAATATACTTACATAAATTTTAACACATGACAGACAATGATTGCATTATAGTTTTACAATTTAAAAAACAAGCATCAAAACTGCTGCATAAAAACAACACTTCAGCATCCACGAAGACACGGGTCATAGTTTTTGTT